TGTAATTACATAAGCATTTAGTCGGGTCTTTAAAACTCATCAAAAATTATGACTGTTATTACTGTAGTTTTAAAATAACTTCTGTATAATACCGGTTGTTGACAATTGCTCGATTTTGAGCAACAGGTACACTAGTTTTATATTATTATTTGAGTGAAAGTGTTATATGACTGCCACCATGGAAGACAGACTTTTTCCCTTGCTGTATCTATCTATATACTTATTTAATACGCAAGCAGGATTTTTGTGACAATTACTCCTCCGAAACTACTGAACCGATTGACAAGGTTTTTGTTGTCATTGGAAAGAGCGTAACGTGAAGTTGTGCAGGAATGAATTCACATTGCCTAATTCACAATGTTTACATTTGCTTTGACATTTAAAATTTATGTATTTTAAAACATTTGGTCACTATACATTCAACATTTCATACCACCAGCTCATACATTGCATTTAATGTAAAAAACCAGAACTGTCAAATGCCTATTTCACAATTTCAGACAGCTGATCCCAAAAAAGTAAAACAACTATGTGGTAGGTTTATTTAATCTTAAACTTTATGATTGATTATTTATTATAAATCTATTTCAATGATTATGAAACAGATTTTTCCCGTTGCGAAGCAAACAATAATAGTGAGAACTGAGAATAACATATGAATTGTAAACAGTCAACGTGTAAATTATCCATGTTGTATTAAAAATGTGTATTTTGGATGTTGGTTTGTGTTTCATGACCTTTTCCCATCTATGGGCAGTTTGATTGTTAAAAATTAACCCTTTAAACTATTATATAACTATAATAGAATGGGACTGTTATGTAAATTGTGAGTATTTTCATTACCAGTTAATAATCTTTTAGTTGACTCTTTTAAAATCATCGGAAATTATGACTGTAATTAGTTTTAAACAAGTTATTTGTTTATAAATAACTCCTGTACTTCTTTGCAATTGCTCGATTTCGAGCAACATGTACACTAGTTTATTTATATATTTTAAATTGTAATACTCTGTTAAAGATCTTTTTACATGATTAATGCTACAGAGTAATTAATTGGCATTTGTGCTGTTTTGTAGCTTTAGAAAATAAAATAAAATAAATAAATAAATATTTATTCCCAATTTTAATAACATTAGATTTAACGAGTGCTTAGGTTTGCTGCTACGGGGAAGGTAAAAAGGGTTTTTGACGATACGTCAATAGTATAGGATGAAATAAATAAATTTGCCAAATGTTATCAACAAATATCCATAAACAAGTAAACTACAAAAGTTTTCATTTTCTCCATAAGAGAATAATATGGAATTAAAAATTACACTTTTTTTATTTTCTCCGCGACCGTTAGGCATACAATGGTGCTTCAATATATTAAATAATTTTTTTTAAGCTCTACAAAATGTTTTAAGAAGAAATTGCAGAATTTTTGGATTTTAGGGTCAAAAATGGGAAAACCCCATTTTTACCCCCATACCCCCCCATAGTCCAATCATGCTAATTCGCGAACTCGTTTGAATAGATGTAGGTTTACACGTTTATACAAAATTTCAACAAAATCGGATCATTTTTGCTCGAGTTATCGCGCTAACTGCTTTATCCGCTTTATGAGGCAAAAATTGGTTTTTCCCATTTTTGACCCTAAAAACTTAAAATTTAACATTTTATTTTCAAACCATTTTGTAGAGCTTAATAAAACAAATAATTTAGTATATTGAAGCGTTGCTATGCGCCCAATGGTTACGGAGAAAATTCCAAAAAACTGTAAATTTAAAATTCTTATGTTATTCTTATGGAGAATAAGTTAACTGTTGTAGTTTGCTTGGTTATGATCATATTTTGAACAAATTTGGAAAATGCATTCATTTCATACTAAACTATTAAATAGGGAGTAAATGTGATATTTTTAAGGAGACATTTTAGTGTAAATCCAATCAGGCAAATGGAAATTCGCTTAGTCTGCAGGTTTGCTGCAGTGGGAGTAGTGAAATATAGCTTATTCCCTATATGGGAAATTCGCTAAAATCTATATCTATAAAAGAAGAACTATGTATGTGTGTACCTTATGGACTCCAAAACCGCTTGACAGATAGTAATGAAACTCTCAGGCATTTAAGTATCTTTCAAGGATGGTTCGAGTGGAGTTTGGTGCAGATCCGTCAAAAGGGCTCTTCTGCCCCAGAGGGTTTTAAGTGGGCCAATGTCAGACTTTTAGATCTACAATGTTTACAAATAAATCTATTAGTATAAAAGAGGATGTTTGTATATATATTTGGCAGTGATAAACTCAGACACCGCTGAACCAATTGCCACGAAACTTGGTACATACGTGTAGAATTTCATGGAATAGGTTTATACACCTACACCATCAATTTCGTGATCCGTCCAATCGGCTCCGCCCCAGTGGCTCTGGAGTTTCCCATGTTAACCTTATGAGAAATGGAATTAATGAATCTTAACAGCTGTTTCAATTAAACAAGTTGGTTCTGTTCTATGATGTTCAATAGCATTAAAGTTACAACGATTACCAACAGGGTGCAGCACTATTATTTCTTTTACATTTTACAAACACTACCGTTTTTTAAATTCTTTTTTTTAAATTTTGTTGAGAATGAGTGCCCCTATCCAGTAGATGAACAGTTATTTTAATAGCTTTTGTTTCTTCAGAGCTATAGACGAGTAAAAAAGCCACTTTGTCACGTCATGTATATATACACTGCAGCAGCTGTGTACCGCTGGGGGACTTGGCGGGCCGGAACGCTGCCACGTTCCTTAATAACTAAGGGTACTAAATGTTTAATTATTTATTTTTTACTAATATATATAAACTAGTGGCTTGTAGGGACATAAGTCCCTAAAAAGCTCAAATGTAAAACAACTTTTTGCAGTACCGGTATTTAAACAAACTCAGAATAACATTATCTATGTGTCAGAATAGGCATCCCTACACCATATCTTTTGTGTAAAAACCAGTTTGTTGTTCTTCTTTGTTTGCTTTTGTTGATGTCATTTTCAATAAATAATTTGAATCACTCCAGTGGTTTAACATGAAAAGGCAGCAAACATATCATTGTTTGTGAATAAATACTGGTTTACTAAGGTAGCTTTGGTCTTGTGGTTAATGAGGATAAATAAAAGCTTCCCTGTTTGGAATTTTTAAAATTCATTGGAGGTTCGCCTTCAGATGAATTGAAGACGCCTGCAATTTCATCTGCAGTAGGCTTATTATACCTATGACGATCCATATTTATCCTGTCTACAAACCTAAGTTCTAATTCACTGTCACCTTGTACAACCATTTCTTCCGAAGCTCTTTTGTAAATTTGAGCAAATGGATTTTCTAATAGAATTTCAGCTAGTTTTGACAATATTTCAGGTTTTAAGTCAATATTTTCTCGACGCCTTTGACGAATTTCTGTTGCTGTTGATGTGTCAATAATGTACAATTGGCCATACACGGGGTCTTCATCATGTTGAGGCAGCAAATCTGAGATTGAACGATAAATCTGTCCTTGAATTTTGAAACAGTATGGTCCTTTTCCTGGAATATCTTTCTTACTGACTGAAAAATAAGCAAAAGCCATCGCACTGTTGCATTGTCGAATGAATTGATACAGTTGTGGGCTCTCTTCAAACAAACTTTTAAGTTCTACATTAGTTTTTGACTGAGGAAGGTTAATAAGTCCGTTATGGCAACATGTCATAAAATGATTATTCGTTAGTTCTTCTCTAAAATGAAGAGCACTACATTGAATGCACTCTTGGTCCAATAATCCTGCATCATGGATCTTTACATTTCTCTCGTCTACCATGGGTCTCCTAAAAAGGGGTTGTAACATATCTTGATTAAGTTCGTCATTATCTACTCTTGCTCTCCTACGCGCACTGTCATTCCTATGAACAGTTCCCCGCCTTTGTGGTATTCCCCTGGCGTTCATATTAATTACAGTACTTATAATGAAAAGAATATATATCCAGCAGCCTACATACCAAAACATCTTGAATCCCTGGTGATTTTATAAAAGTATGATCGAATATGATTACTCTACGATGTATATTAACTGCACTAAAAAAATTTGCTTACAAAGGAATGCAAATACACCATTTTAGAACCAATAACATTTATAGGTTATTTTAGTTGTATATATTTACACAGCCTTAACCTTAAAATGTGTAGAAATATAAAGAAAACAACATAATTTAAAATAAACTTGAACATATGATTTAAAAATAAATTTAATTTCGACTCTTTGATTATTTATACAGAATATTTATTCTATGTCGTTTATTCCTTTAACACGACAATAACGTAAAAGCATGAAAAAATGAAACTTGAGTATATGATTTAAATATAAACAAAGAATGCAGACGTTTTTCCGACTAATCTTCAATATTTCAGTTTTATTATAGTATACATTTCATAGTAAACCAAATGTGTGTATTGATCACTGTTTTCAAATCTGTGGCACAGCTGTTTTAATTTCAAAAGATGTAAACAAATTAAACCCCATGTTGTTTTAATGGGAAAAGTTTTATTCTGTTGCGAATTTATGGTAAAAAAATAAGAAAAATGAATAGTTTTCCCTCAAAATTCACGTCAAGACCTTTAAAATAAGACCCCTCCCATCCTTCTACGGCCATCCAGTTACTCACAATTTCTTTACAAAAATTTGACTTACGGAATTATATATATAAATATATATTATTCTTGAGGAGATCTTGATAGAGTTTATGATAAATGAAACATGAAACCATATGAAACATTGCAAATTTTCGTTTAGTACAAATGTTTTCAAGCAAATTGAAATGAATGAAAAATGTAAAAATGAACAAAACAAATAAATAATATGAACTATTTTTTCATAAATATATATACCTATACATGAATTTTAATGGATGGTGTTTTTGGCCTCTAGGGACCTCAAAAAGAAAAATTAAATCGGTCCCGGGTCCACGTCTTACCATGAGTAAATGGGAAATTCGCTAACAACATTTTATTTCTTATAATTTTATTCATTTCAGTACATCAATACAGGAATAGCGATCTATACTATATAAAGTTGTAAATGATTAATTTACTAAGTATCAAAATATAAGAAGGTTTCAACTGACTTATACGATCCCCGCCTATAGAACAGGCACCCTGCTAGTTAAATATCAAGATGTCTCTTTTCACCCAAGACAAGGTCAGTTAGTGAAAGTAATCATTTTAACAAACTTAATAGACAGTATATTTTTTTAACAGGCAGAAGTACAAACAAATATTAAAAATTTAAGAAAACATTTTCATAAAAACAATAAAATTATCTGAATTTAATAATCTAAATGAGAAAAAAATGTAAATAAAAGTAGGCCTATACTGATGTACAAAATAAATATTAAACTAATCAACATAATGAATCTAAACTGATTTGTCTCCACTTCTTCAGCCTCCTCTCCCCCAACCTCCATGCCTCCATCGCCATCCACCCTGTCATCAGGCCTGGAATATAACAGAACAAAAATTAATATTAAAAACTGTATTCTGAACTTAAGTCTAGTCTTTTTATGCATACTTCTATTATTATTTAATGTGCTCAGTGGCGTACTGAGGGGGGGGGGGGGGGGTTCGCACCAGGCCCCACACCAACATAGGCCTCCAAATATCAGGGCCGTATTGCCCTAATGGCGGACACTGTGATTTCCGAGGGCTTCGGCCTGGGAAGGGGACTCACTTGGGGCCTCAAAAGAATGTTTTTTTCTCTTAATAAATTTTCTCACAATCTGTTAGAAATAGGGGGTACAATAATCAAAGTTTAACTTGTATTCTCATGATAGCCGAAAGCGTCTGCAAAGATTGCCTGATCGAAATTTACGACTACCAGCAATCGCGGGATGACGATAATCAGGCCTCGCAACTGCGAAAGATGTTCACGATTGCCCCGAGGATGCCCATGATTTTAACCACTGCTGACCGTGGGAGACAAAGATGATGACCCTGCAAACACGGAAGACGGTGCCTGTCGGTGGGTGGTGGGGATAGGGGCGCTTCAAGGCCTACGTGCGGACATTTTTAGTTGCCATGGAGCTGTGGACAGCTGAGCACCATGAAATTGTAGTGAAAGTGTTTTTTAAAAGTGGCAATTCCGGTGTAGCTGCTCAGGGGTAGTCCCGTAGACGTTTCAACGTGGGTCCAAGGGGAAAAGTCTTAACTTGAAACAACATTTTGCTGTGGGTCTGCACGTAGATAAGCTGTAGCTCTGCACATGTCTGGCCACTCAGTAGAAGAATTTTATGATATGACCTGCACTTTTTATTCATACAAAATGGCAATCGTGCAACAGTTGAAGCCCAGTGGCTAAGCAAAGTGCATCTCATTTTCAGAACAAGTGATTGATTTGATTAAACGTGACAAAATTGCGTTATGAGCGACGAATCACACTTTCAACCACAACACATAGTCTTCCTCCCTCACTCTCTTGAAGTTCTCTGGCGTCCGGGCTGACCTGTTGATTTTAGTTTCAATGCTAAACTAGTAGCTCTAAAGTTGCTACCCAAAATGATGTTGCGAGTTGGGACTTTTCTTCTTTGATTCACATTGAAACGTCTACTGAACAGCTACACAGGTATAGCAACTTTTAACACATTCGCTGCGGCCCATCAAACGGCAGGCGTAGCCCCAGTGCGGTGCAGCCCGCAGCGTCGAACAAACCCGATTGCCGGGTGATTGGCTTTCATATATCGGTATGACAAATATCAAATTACATGTGGTGATGTCCTGTTTTATGACAAGAGTTGACGTAGTTTGCTAAACACCCACAAATAGCAGCACTGCTTGGAATATAGCCGGTCCCATTGTATTGCCAATAGGAGGGAGAAGGACGGGACACCAAGTTGATTTTTAAGTTTGCCAGACGGGGATTTTATGGGGAAATTTTACTACCAACCTACAACAAAACCAAAAGCAAGTCACCCACTACACGCTAACAAAGTATAGGTCTGCCTTCGACCGACGCTAGAGGAAAAACGAAGATATACGAAAGGCATTGCCGAGCGTATCTGATCTGATACGGCAGCACCTGAACACAGCTCGGCCCATATCCGATCGGCTACGCCCGCAGTGAACGTGTTAAAAACACTTCCACTTCAAAAATACATGGTGCTCAGCTGTCCACAGCTCCATGGCTACTAAATTTTGTTCGCACATTGGCTTTGTAACACCCCTATTCCCACCACCCTCCGCCACACACTGGATTGACAGGGCGGCAAAGAAAACCGTCAAATAATTTTGTTTGTCAACTGCCCTGAATGACCTTTTTTTATTTCTTAAGATAACAAATTGGCTTGTTGGGCAACGTTTTATGTCAAATGATGAGGTCATCACTGAAACAGAAGAGTATTTTGTAGGCTTTTCAAGATTGTAGGGTAACTTACTATTTATTTGAACAGCATTTGAAGGAGGTTGGAGAAACTTTAAGATAAGTGTACAGAGCTAAATAAAAGGAGATTATAACAAAATAAATCAAATTTATCCCAAAACTGTTATTCTATGTTTTTCTAAGGACTTATTGAACCACGCTCGTACTAAATACCTTATTGATCTATCAGAATTGTTCTACTTGTTTCAACTGCTTCTGTTGGCAACGCTTTTCCATTTCTCTCAAAATAATTTTTGTTTCAGTACTTACCAAATGTAAACACTATGACATATTCAGAATTAATTATAATTATGTTGTCAAAAACTATAGCCTACATTTCCTAAAAAACAAAAGCAAATTTTGGGCACCTCTCCAGTTAAAATGCTCGTTATACTAGGAATTCAGGAGGGTTATGCGACATAGGTTTCAGGACACGGCCCTGGATTTATAAGTATTAAATTTAAGGAAATGGCAAAACTTACCATAAGTTAGTTCTCTTCAATCTTCGTCTTTACTTCGCCCCATCCTCCATCTCCTCTTCCTCTGGCAACTCTCCCCTGTATCCTCCAATGTCGGAGGATATTAATTACAACGCCCCCATTCTACTGGTAGGCTACAGCTCTGTACAGAAATATTGCAAAAAATAAAAAATAGTGTTATACAAATAATTTTAGTCTAACAAATAATACAAGAGTGTAGACTCCTTTCTAGATTTGCGATATTCAAATAGGTACAGCTAGTAGAAGAAAATTTGTTAGCAATCTGGGTCAAGTTAATATAAATATTAGAATTTTTATCAATAATTAGGTTTGGATAAAATAAATTGCTTCAAACATTAATTCATTGTTATTTCCCAATTTGCAAAAATGCAAGCTATAGCCTAATTAAAACAACATGTTACGAGATGTACGGTACGGTAATCCAAATAAATTTTAAGTAGGGGCCTAGTTTTAAATTGTTATAAAAAACTATAAATTTGCATACAGATTATATATTATCCTCATGTTCCACCAAAAACTATTGTAACTAGTGGGCGAAGTGGCACTTTGCTAGACATGAGAGAAATGTTTAAACGCACGAGCCGTAGGCGAGTGTGGAAAGTATCTTGAGTGCAGCAAAGGCAGTTTGCACTTGTGTTACAAACTATATTTTTCTTACAATTATTATAAAACATATAGATAATTACCTAGTCTTTCAAACTCTGTTCAACACGTTTCTAGGTTAGGTTAAAACCAAACATTGGTGAAATGGTAAGCTGTACCAGTTGATCGTAGTCGTAATATCTTGAATGGGTAGCCAACTTATTTTCAAGTGTACGTATGTATTATGTGTCTAATAAAACCTTGCTGTTTTGTGTTGTTTGGTTGGAATACTGGAGTGTGGCAAAAAAAAAAGAGTGCGGTAAAAGTAAGTAAATTGCAGCAAATAGCAACTTTCTGAGTGCTATAATAAGTGCAAGGAAGGCCACTTTGTCAGGTGACAGTTGGAAAAATAATTCACATGCGCTTCATTTTGAAAACTGTGAATGACTGACTTAAACAACCTTTTTATTATAACTGTTATCATGTTAAAATGTGTAATTTTACGCACAGGCCGCCTAGTTATTAGTTTATAACTAATGTGATAACTGTATACACACATTGTTTTTGTCCTATGACACAACAGGCACTAGTCCGGAATTTTAATTCACATTTCACACTTCAGCTTAGGTCTAGGGCTGTGGTATTCACACAAAAGAAAATAATAAAAATAAATAATAAAATCCATTGGTCATCTGCCAGGATTTGAGCCCGGTACTGAAGTTCTGCTCGCTCCCCTAGGGTAAAGAATTTAGTCAGTTGTAGGCATTAGGCAGGCCTATAAAATATGTAGAGGAGGCTATGACTTAGAGCATTGGAACGCCAATAAATATGATCAGTCATTAATATTAATCGGGGCCAATCCTATGAGCGAAGACAGAATCATATTTAGTAAATAAAGTTGTCACTTCCAATTGCTTGTTGTTGAAAACAATCAGCTGTAGGCTAAAGTTACTTCACCCACCACAGGCGTCGCCGCCATAGGGGACATGGGGACGCGTCCCCCCCAATATTTGAAAAGTCAGTTTGGTCCCCCATCCCAAATTTTAAAAATCATACAGAATGCGTGTTCACCCAATCGATCGCTTCCAGCAAGCAAGGTGCTCGTTTCGCTGTGTGATTCGGAAGCGTTCAACATGATGCGGTGGTGGAGGGGTGTTCTGATTCACGATCCTCGAGTTGCACTATGGATGCCTAGACGCTTGTCTTGAATGTCTTCTCGCGTTTCAGTCAGACTTTCAGTCCGTTCCGTCACCGTCAGTCGGCAGTGGTTGATACTACATACATTTATATGTAGGCCTACGTTAACCCTTTTCTCCTTGTGTGCTGTATCTGTCGGTAGTATCGGTTATAGTTCTTTTAGGTTAGTTGATACTTTTTGGAAGAGTTGATACTTGAACCTTGAACTGTTTATTGTCAAATGAAGCGAGCAGAAGGCCAAAAACAAATTGTTTATATAAAAACCTGCTTGTAAAAATGTAAGATTGTGGGTTTAAATATTAGTGTTCAAACGTCATTGAATTCGATACTATACATATTGTGACAGATCTAAGAAATGGAGAAAAAAGTAAAAAAAAACATATCTACTTGCTTGCATGGCATATAACATGTGAAATGGAAGGTTTTAGGACAATTGGGCACAGTTCACAGTTCTATTCATTAGAAATGGCTTTATAAAGTCACCAATCACCATACGGCTTTTGGGAGATATGGCTTCGTAGTCTACAGTAGGCCTATGTTTTGAAATTCATGAATGCAAGTTCGTCATAGTTTGATTTTTAAAATGTCTACTTGCTCATGACAAAGACAAATAACAGGTGAAACGGGAGGTTTTTGGAAAGTTGGACACAGATATAGACATTAATAATGGCTTTAGAAAGTCAGTAAAAACAGCTTTTACGCCACACTACATTATTTTGATGAACTTTCCACGCAAGGATTTAGTCCAGAAAACAGCTGTTTGCCGCCAGCTTATTCAAATGGGGTTTCATTGCGTAATACTGTTCTGCAATGAGTTTTACCGGACACCAATCAGCTGATTATACTGTATTTTCGTGGCAATTAGTGGTTATAAACAAAAACATAACCTTTCATGACTAGTGATTTTTAGTCCTTTAGTTGGTGGAAATATATAAGGATTTGTACGGATTAAGTAGTATGGCGTAAACTATCGTACGTAACTCGTCCAAAATGTGTGTACCGGACTCGTATGGTAATCCCGTACTCGACTTCGTCTCGCACGGGAACGACCACACTCGTCCGGTAAACACTTATTTTCAGGACTAGTAACGTAATATACTATATTGTGAGGATACGGCCTTAGCCTACAATATTTTTTGAGATTTATGAATGAATGCAATCGTCATAGTTAGTTTTAAAAATGTCTAATTATTCATAACAAATAAAGGGGGAAAAGGGAGGTTATGCACACAGTTCTAGATGTTAAAACTGGCTGTATAAAGTCACCAAACGGCTTTTAGGAGGATATGGCCTTAGTCTACAGCGTGTTTTTAAATTCATTAATGCAATCGTCTTTAGTTTAATTTTTAAATTGTCTATTTGCTCATGACAAACAACAGGTGAAATGGGAGTTTATGGACAATTGGGCACGGTTTTTGGTGTTAAAAATGGCTTTAAAAAGTCACCAAACTGCTTTGAAAATTACCAATTTTTGGACCCCCCGGCCTTGTTGGGGGGTGTTGAGCACCCCTCAAGCCCCCCGGTGGGCACCCCCTTCCTACATTTGTCCCCCTCAATCTTTTGATGCTGACGACGCCAATGTCACCCACAGTTCATTCTACTTGTTAATGTCATCCACCCTACCTTGACTATTCAAACATTTTGAGCGGCGATTTATTCCGTTTCAGTAATATTCATCTGCGGTGAAAAATAGTAGTCTATTTGGATTCAGTATGGTACGTAAAATACTACGCAGAGGATACGGGCCGGTAACCGGATGTGGATTAGGCATCCGGCAGTTACTGTGATAACCTAACCTAACCAACCAAACTTGCTGATAATGAAAAAAATCGAATGGAGGTTAAATTCTGTCCATAAAATAAATTTATAAACGCAACCAATTCAAACAAAAGGTATTGTACAGTTAAGAATAAACCCACGCAAATATGGACATTAGGCCTAGGACATAAAAATGTTCTTTCCATTTATGATAACCCAATCTAACATAACCGCCGCAAAGCGCTGTATATCTGTAGCCTCCGGATAATACTTACCAAAGTACCGATTTGAACTTTGAATAACTTAGTTATCACGGCAGTATGGTAATAGCCTCCAGGGTACACAACTCTGGTCTCTCTATATCTCTCATCTGCAGTGATGTCGATGGCAATGTCGTCCAGAAAGGTTAGTCCTCTTAACTTATTGGTTCAAGACAATAGGGTATTTAAACTAGAGACCAATTTGGGCTCAGGTCAAATTACAGCCTTTGCTCCAGGATCATCTATAAAATTAACATTGAAGTCATCAGCAATGAATGATATAATCCAAGACTAGTCTTACACCAAATACAAACCTCTCTAGAATATTTTACAGCACTTAAGTTTACATCCTACACTCATTCCAATGAATATATTTCTTTAATACTTTCTTTCTTATTACTTGGCGACCATACAAAGTAGGTATTTTAAGCCAAGTATGAATGGAGATGAGTGTAGGATGAGTGGCGCGATCTTGTAGTCTTGTTAGTGACTAAAAGACTGACATTCCTTAGACACAGCTGTTAATTAATAGCCCATACAGCTAATGGCAACTAAGGGACCTACAGTTTATAGTGGAATCCGAACCACATTATTGCCTTGGTATAGGCCTAACTTATACGAATTGGTATAATTATCAGGATAGTACTGCGGAGAGTCGTAGTAAGTACTCACTCGTGCGGACGTTAATCCACACCAGGGAGTATCGAATCCACAGTGCATGCCTAAAAATATCCACAATTCGTGACCTCCTAACTTAGTAGCTGGATTACAGGACGACGCCACACGTCCCAGTCATATTGATTATTTCATTCAATAAACTTAGGCCTAAGCCTATATCAAGTTTGGTTAGTTAGGGTAAAACCTAACCTAACTAAAGGAATGCAATATTCAAAATACTAAATAGTCTATGTATTTAATATCTTTCATTTGAATAAATGTAGGACATAGCCTAAACTAAAGTGCAGCCAAATATTTTTACATAAACAAACTCTCAAAGTTGACACTGGATCAGTGGGGATAAGAGACAATCCTAATAGCCTAGGGATTTGCCTATTCAAACATTTGCAATAATATTGCTCTATGATCCAGAATTAGCCTACGAACAAGCTGGAATAAATGGAATAAGATATTGATTCTTGATTCTATTGATTGATTCTTGATTCTGCATCTTAGGCTCTTGTTGGTGACTTACCTAAGTTAGTGCCTGGTAATGTTTTTAAGTTTTTTATCCTATAAAAATTATTTCACATTATTCCTTTAAAACTATTGTTTGTAACACTCGAGTCATCTATTTTCTTGTAAACAAGGAAAGAAATAAAAAAGATAAAAATATTTACAATACTGTATACCTACAAGTTTTAGTCCATAAATGGCCAGCTTGAGCTTGTAGATGTCCGTCGGGTCGGAATCAAATATTGCGACTTGCGACTCGTGAGTTGAGGAACTGAACGATGAATTAGAACAACTCCTTTTCAAGAGTAGCTCCGAAGAACGGGAGCTTGTCGATATACTGGGACTATTTCAGTGTCGACATAGTGAAACTATTTCATTGTCGACAATATGGGATGTCGACAATTTGTGGTGTCGATCATTTGCGACGTCGGTTATTTGGGATGTCGGTTAAGTGGGAATATTCCAGTGTCGACAAACTGGGAATAATTCAGTTTCGATCAATTTCTACGGTTGTCGATATTATGGAACCCACCCAACAATTACACGTAATAAGAACCTCGCTAGTCCGCTGCATTGTGATAGCTGAAAATCGTCGGAATGAAAACCGCCGCTACAAGATACAGAAGTTGGTACGCCTGCAGTGCCCTCCACAGCTGCGCGCGCCGCTGGCACTGCCGCTCAACACATCCCCACCTAAAAGACGAGCAAGTGGTAAGTCGGTCGGGAGGATTGACGACAAGTTGGTTTCTCGTATATAATAATTTAGATTTACAGGCCGGTCAACTGGACTGCCGATGAAATAACTTGTCGACGTACTGGTTTTCAGTATTTATCTATTTAATTAAAAAAGACGGTCTAGTGGCAAGACGACCAAGTATCTTGTCGGTCAACTGGTGGCCCCCCATTTAAAAATCATTAAAAAAATTTAATTACCTTTTAACTTCTCAATACAAAAAAAGGAAGAATTTTAAGCGCTTAACTTTTAACTAACCGTAAATAAAAATCTTAAGCTCAGTACTGTTTTAATAAAGGTTTTAACAGAGTAGGCTTAGAATACTGACTGACAGACCAGTTAAAATGTTCATCTTACTTTTAAAATGTTAAATAAGAAACTCTTCACATACCATGTCTTTCTGTAAACACTCTAACGTCTTCAGCCAAATGACCTTGGTTTCGTTGTTCTTTAACCATTATTTTTAGATCATCAAAAGCGCGGCATCTTGAAATTGTTACGTACAATTCCCCATGCTGTAAGCAGGGGATGCAGCTCTAGCAGATAAAGACCAACTTTTCGAGGACGAATTTTAGAGGAACACTCGTTTTCCAGCTGAACTTCAAGTAATAATTTCAAGACTTCATCATTCATAACTTTCGCCATTAATCTGGTTCTATTAACCAGTCCTTTTTTTGGATTTAATTTTCTTAGTAAAATTACAATTACACCTTTTTTGACATAACTTGCGAGGAGGTAAACCCTTATCGAGGAGGAAAATATGTCATTCTGAACAGTGTACAGACAAAACTCTAATTTTATTTGCAGATATTTTATATACAGCACCATTTGATTAACTGTATTTTTTCACTTCTATAACAGATTTCGTTTCTCATGACGCTTGATGAACGACTCATACACCTAATAACAACTTACTTAAATAGGCAATCCTAACGAACTACTGTTGCAGTAAACTTAACTGTTACACATGTTTGAAATTTACAACATCTTGCATAATTACAATACTTTGTGCCTGTTGGCTACTATGAATCGTTTGGATTAATTTAAGATATTAAACTTTTTTGATATAGGCCTACACAAGGTAAATTGACCTCCATGTTACCCAAAATTATACACAGGTCCTATATATATACTAGTGTACATGTTGCTCAAATTCAAGTAATTGCAAAGTATTACAGGGGTTATTTCAAAACCAATAACAGTCATATTTAAAAAAGTTTAACTCAAAGTTTAAAAAGAGTTTAAAAAGAGTCAACTCAAATATTACCATTGTGTAACTCAGACCCTGATTACCTAAATCCCTGGTCTTCGTTATTGATAAACCTTAAGCATTCCGGCTGGGTTTCTCCTTCTCAAAATGCCTCGCTGTACAGGCAACACATGTCATTGATAGAGGGTCAAATTGAGAACGAAAAGTCTTTTAGGGGTAGAGTTAGCTCGCATTCGTAACCTAATAGTTGAGATTGTCCAGGGTCAGGTGCTGACGTGTACGCCTCCTTTCTATGTTTCGTTGTTGTCGCGTCGGAGGCATTTAAAAAAAAAACAACAAATAAACAAATTATAGCTACACAAAACAACGATAAATGCACAAATTTAAGTTACAATCATGCTAACACGATCTGTCATAGCGACACAAAGCAACGATAAATATATAAATTCAAGATACAACCATACTAACACGGTCCGTTTTCGTTTTGGGGGTTATGTTTACACAAACTCAAATAGTAAATAAATTTACTCAATGCGTTTCATTGAATCGAAAAATAAATAACAGTAATTAAATTATACAGCTGATCAAAATGTAAACAATTATGTTCTTCATAAGGATAACATGGGAACTTTCAAAGCCACTGGGGCAGAACCCAAGGGACTTTGTAAAAAATGTAAGGCCAGTTGGCAAATCTACGCGACACGCTCTTTCCAATGAGATGTCAATGGATAAAATCGGTTAAGAAATGGCGGAGGAGTTCAACCGACAAAGTTTCATGTAGCGTATTAATTATATATATATATATATACACCATATTACCACACTACAAATGTAATTCTACAATATACGGTACGTAGTTTTATCCAAACAAACGATCAAAACCCCCTAATGATATTGTTATTTGATTCAATAGTCAATGCACATAAGCGAGTCTTATCTTTCAAAGCAGATTAAATAATACAAAGGCAGAGGAATGCGCGAGAACGAGGTCACTTCACGGTTGCTATAGAAACGACGAAACTATCCATTAGAATTGCGCGCCAACGTCAACTAAACTCCAGACTGTATAAACACGCCGAGTGTGTAGTGTTCGACGGAGCTAGGCTACTTTCAGTTGGCAAGACTGGCTTCTAGCCTCGAGCGACGTGGTTCAACCACGAGAAGCGCCTCAAACTCCTGGGTAATCCCCGGTTAGCTCCTCCCACTCTGCCCCCTATCCCCACCTAAAAGACGAGCAAGTGGTAAGTCGGTCGGGTCGATTGACGACAAGTAGGTTTCTCGTATATAATAATTTAGTTTTACAGGCCGGTCAACTGGAATGACGATGAAATAACTTGTCGACGTACTGGTTTTCAGTATTTATCTATTTAATTAAAAAAGACGGTCTAGTGGCCAGACGACCAAGTATCTTGTCGGTCTACTGGTAGGCTCCCATCCAATAACATTAAATCAAAAAGTTACTCATCCATTTTTCAAACCAAATATATATCTATAAAAAACTTATAACAAAAAGAATTGTAAAGTTGCCTAAAAACACAACATTATAAACAAATTGAATTAGCAAAAAGTTAAACAACAAGAAGTTGAGTTTAATAAATTTGATAATAAAACAAATGATTTGTGCTGTGTGCACTGTGACTGTGGAGTGTTTGTGAGTAAATAAGCCCCAGAGCCCGTGAGACTGGCTGCAGTGTAGGAGCACAGACAATATAATACTTTAATGGTTTATTCCATTGTCTGTGGTAGGAGCGTCATCCCGCTTCCGGTCTGAAGAGTCGGGTCCGGTCTGGTCGGGTTGGCTGATCAGACAAAATTCTGCTTCCAATGTAGGCTGCCAGACTGGAGGGAACTGCTGTCTGCCATGTTATCTTATGGGACGTCTGACACTAAACAACCCTACTTGCGACGTTGCCAATTCTACCGGGCTGCGGCCTGTAGTTAAAGTTGGCCTGACTAAGAATATGTCTTCTGGCAAACTGAATATATAAGTATAATATGATTTCTTTGCATTGTTACAAAGTTTCCAAGCTTAGAAGCTATCCACCAATGTATGGACAATTTTCAAGATAGTCCCACAGTACCAAACGGTCTTTTTTCTAAATACTTTTAATAATTTTAAAACGTAGCTCTTATAGGAGTATGTTTGATCTATTCTCATACTGATCATAACCATTGACTATAAATACACCCACTGCCACCTTTAACTCCAGGCCACGGCCTGGTAGAATTGGCAACGTTGCAGGTGGTGTCTATAAAAATATATATAGCACCAGACATCTCATAAGATAATAATAAAAATGAACTCTCATAAGATAACATGGCAGACAGGTGACACCAGCTCAATAATTCGCGTACTATTCATTTAAATTTAAGGACATACAATTATTAATATATTAAAAATAAAATATATAGAGTTGAAAATCAACACCATATTTTTAAATTGAAAATATATTTTTGTATATTTAAAGTGAATTCAATATTTTCATTATAGATCAAACATGATTATATCAATGAATACGTTCATCGATTATACCATAGATAAAACATACTCCCTTATTATACCCTATTATTTTACACTTATAGTTCGGCCGCTTAGAAAACGACCTGCGCGCTAATGCTAAACCAATGCTGGAGGAGGTCGTTTTCTAAGCGGCCGACCTATAATCAACGATTCGTCTCTTAATATTGATTTCCCGTCTGGCTTTTGGCTCATATACAGCGTGATTGATATAAGTGTGCCAGCCGTTTTATTCGAAAACTATAAGAGATATCAAAAAAAGTTAAATGATAAGTGCCTTGGATTTTTTATTTAAAAAATTGTTGTCAAGTCAAAAAAATTATTTTAGCCGCCATTTTTCCAATATGGCCGCCAACTTCGATTTTTCTTAACGAACACCCTGTATTTTATTATGTATTCTGGTAGAAAATGTAATTTTAAGACGATTTTATTCTTGTAATTTTTTTCATAAACCTAACCGTTTCAAAGATAATAATGGTTAAAGTTTTGAAATTTCTGCATGAGAAAGAGTTTCGATAAAGGCCTAAGCAAGCATGCCAGCTGTTTTATTTGAAAACCATTCAAAATTTCACAACTTAAACCATTATTATCTTTGAAACGGTTAGGTTTATGAAATAAATTACAAGAATAAAATCGTCTTAAAATTACATTTTCTACCGGAATACATCATGAAATACAGGGTGTTCCATTAGAAAAATCAAAGTTGGCGGCCATATTGGAAAAATGGCGGCTAAAATAATTTTTTTGACTTGACTATAATTTTTTAAATAAAAAATCCAAGGCACTTACCATTTGCTTTTTTTGATATCTCTTATGGTTTTCGAGTAAAACGGCTGGCACACTTATATCAATCACCCTGTATTAAGTTCCGTCCGTTTTAGACCAGACTGGACTGGACTGCTTCCAACATTCAACCCAACCCAACCAATCCAAATCCAAAACAAAAACTGGGACGTCTGACGTCTGACGTTTGTTGAGTCTGAATCTGACAGCAGTGAAGTGACAACCAAACCAACCACGACCATTTCTCATTTCTTTTCTTTCATTTCGCGACGGATGTGTATGTACAATGAAGTGGGAGGTGCCTTAAGTTCTGTTGTCCTATTTTAAAAACAATTAGTGCCTTATTAAGAAAGACAATTCTCTAGAAACAGTATTCTTTGCATGCTGGGTATGTACCCTATTTATTTTATAGCATACACTACTTTATAATAGGCCTAGCCTACTTGGATATCTTAATTTCTCCTCTATAGCCTAACTTTTTTGCCTAAGTGCCTTAGTGTCTGGGCACAATTAATTATAAGACATACGTTTGACAAATATTATATTTTTATTAATTTGACGAATTCTGTATTTTGTTCAACAGAAAAATCATTAGTTTTAACTGACCTTTATTTGCATCAATTTAAACATGGCCTTGACTAAAGTCATGGACCAGCCTAGGCCTTAGCCTATACTACTTGTTCAGGTTTTACATTCCTTTGGCAGTTTGGTTAATTTGTTGTTATGATTAAGAGAAAATTATTGGATCTTTTGCTATTGACTACCCAAGGTTAAAGATGCTTGTTCAAAAGAGCTTGTAATTTACAGCGTTAGGTCCGTCAAGAGTCTGTGCTTCGTCCCCTTCTCTTTGTCAACGATTTAGATCTTCAGGCGACTCACTTTTATATGAGGATTGGGTACCCTGCTGGCAAGAGGAAAGGAGATACAACAAATTCGACTGAATTTGGACAAATTATTGGGCGAAGCCAAGAATTGGTTTGTGAGCAGCACAATGAGGATATGACTCAGAGCATCACTTGCACCTTGACACAGAAAACATATTACTATAACCCAGAATGCCAACCGCGTGGTAAAAAGCATTAAGTGTTTTGAGAGAGCTTTGCCTGCCAATCGTAGGCAGCGCCACCAGCGTTGCCATGCACTCAGCATAGCAACGCTGGTGGCGCTGCCTACGATTGACACAGGCAAAGCTCTCTCTAAACACTTAATGCTTTTTACCATGCGGTTGGCATTCTGGGTTATAGTAGTACCTATGTTTTCTGTGACCTTGAAGACCACTGATGCTGGGAGCCCCTTGAAGCTCCTTGGGTTCTGGATAGACCCGAATGTCATGGGATGAGCACAATTCTGCCATAAGCTCTCTAGAGTCCTCTTTTAGAAAAAAAAATCAGTGCCAGTAGATTTTTTTGTGTCAGCCTATTACGCCTTGTACCACAGTCACATCTCATATGGGCTGATATTACGGGGACATTAATCCAAAAAGTCAGGATATTCTGCGGCTTCAGAAGAAAGGGAGGATACTTGAGTTAACTCATAACTTTGACAGCCCGGAGAGACCACAGCAAGCCTCTGATTTCACTTAGCATAAGATTCTCACCATCTTTAAAGTCACTAATGTACTAGACTCCGTTTGCTACATGAAGGAGAGTATTGGGTATTGGTGATTTTAGTGTGGTGCAATACATCAGCACGGCACTAGAGGAGCTACAAATTTTTATGTACCAAGATGCAGACTCGCTTGTAAGGTGTTAATTCCGAGGGAGGTAAAATCTACAACTTATAAGCCTCAGATCTGATACAAGTTGTTGTGTGTCCAGGGTTCAATTTAATTTGATAACTTAATTGGCTGGGCTCAGACCATACGATTTTATCATTCACTCACTCAATCATTGGTCAACATCATTGCCCAAATTAAAACCAATTAATCCCCGATCGTGTTTCATTACAATATAAGTTGGTTTGAGGAGCTAATCAAACGTCACCTAAAATAACCGTAGGTTAGCCGTGAACTAAACCTAGGTGCAATGTACAAATAGGTGTGTGAACTACTGCTAGTGTGTTACCTACGCTCACAAAATAAAATTACTCCGTACGGAAAAGGTTACTTCACCTTTTAATAAATTGTAAATAAAGAATAAGAAAATTAATTTAACGAGTAACCCTACTGGGCTACCCTGAGTTATTTCACCCGGGTGTGACAAGGAGAAGATATCCCGATTAAATAAATTTAAAGTAAACTATACTCGTTTTATTGCACTCATTATTGGACCACAAGAAGGGACGGATAACAACAAGGCGGTTCCGCCTGTCTTCAATTTAATACAAATTTAAATATGTTTGGTACCGTACCTTTAATTTAATGGATGTCAATTATAGGAGTAACGCTGAAATGCTATTGGATAATGATGGACGTGAGCTGTTTCGCCCGTCCCCTAACAATATGTAAAATGCGGTAGAGTAGATCAATTAGTCTTTACCAAGAATGAATTTAAACTCAAGAAACAACTAGGCCTAGTAATAATACTTAACAGTCTTGTGAAGGGTTTAACCTATCTAGCTTGGAACTATCGTAGCCAGCCTATACTTTCCACCAAAAAGGAATAACAAATGCAGCTGCAATAATAATAGTAAATAGGCCTACATATATATTTAATACTGGGGTGATTAATGTTGAAGCCCGAAATGGGGACGACGACTAAGTTTAACTATACCAATAGGTTGGCTAGACCAGAGCGGGTTTATTAGTTTAGAAGGGAGTAGAGGAGAGAGAGAGAAGTGACCAGCTACACGCCGGCCGACGAATGAATCTTGATCCTAGGTCTTGGAGAAATCTCGCTCTACCCCTACCCTTCGCCCTTAAGACGCTGCCAGTGTGGCGGGTGGACACTGCCAAATTTAATTCTTTAGGTCCCATTTGGCTTAATCATTGAACAGCTTCCCAGTTCTGGGAGTGAGACTGTTCAATAAACTCCCAGTTAAGTCAAGCAGGGGAATAATGCCCAGTTTAAAAGATTAGTACGAGGGAGACTGCTGGTAAACCCCCTATTTGGCGTGGATGAGTTTATGAGGGAACCTTGGAGAGGAGTCAACCGCAATCCAAGATAGCCCATTATGAGTTTGACATAGCCTATCTAGATAATCTGGTCATCGGTGAGGCAGCGGTAATAAAGCTAATTAAAGACTTATTTAAATTACTTACTTTTTTAGGTTAATAGTTAATAGGCTTTATCTTGTTTTCAGTATAATTATCACTGGTATGAGTTCTCCAACTGCAGATGATAAAAGTGGTGATTTGGGCATAGGGAAGTCACCTGTTAAGAAATGGGTTCAGTTTGAGGAAGATGAGAAACAGAAGAATGACTCAGAAAACTCTGTGTCACCCACTAAATCTATTGGTAAGTGCAGTGATCCCTTAAAATTTATTTTATATTGCCATCCTTATTTATTTTTGCTATTTAAGAAAATTTCTAGTTTTAGCCTACTGATGACGTATCAATGTAAATATGAGTCAGAAGTTAAGGAAAGGCCAATTGGCTGATTAAGATTATTATGTACAAGAATAAGGATCAGCTAGCTTACCTGGTAGAGTCCAGATTAGCCTTGGTAAGACACATAAAACAACACAGAAAACTTTCTTTCTTCTCACATTACAGTCTTCTTTCTTTTCGAAGTCCCTAACTGGGAAGAAATATTAAGTTTTTCTCTTATTGTGTTATGTGTTTTATCTGTGTTACCGAGGCTAATTTGGACTCAGTCTACCAGGTAAGCTAGCTGATCCCTATCCCTGTACATAATAATCCCAATGTAAATATATGAGCAATCCACAGAAATCTTTTCTTCTCTATGAGGATAACATGGGAGACAACAAACTGTGTTTAGCAAACTTTTGAACTTTCTATTACGGTACCAATTAAGCAGAAACTAGAGCTGTCAATAATTATAGCGTCTCGGTTTCCCCACCCGCAAACTGATGAGAACCTCTTTAGAGAAGGAGTGGGGGGCGTGACGTCACTCTGCTCTTTAGGGAACACCATTACCGTAACGAGACGAATTGATTCCATCGAATTTTCTATTTTACTTTATAAAGCATTTTTTAACTTTTCCCGTAGCAATTACGATCCATTTTAGCCTTGTTTTAGCTATTGTTATGTAAAGACAACAATATGTTCTGTTATCCGAACTATTCAATTAAAGAGGTTCTACTGTATGCAGGTTTGCTGTAGCTCAAGGTTATACATCTAATATATATTCATTACTAACATTTTAAATACATGTTTTTCCCTGGCATCTAGGGACTTCAAATAAAAAAGTACATCAATCCTGAATATTTTTAGTCCTTTACTTTACAGTCACAAATTCTTTCCTAAAGGAAATTTTTCTTAAAAAAGGAAAAATGTCTTGCAAACAACATTGATTTAGTTCCTGGTTCAGTCATGTGACCAGGGTGTGGTCACTTAGCAACCCAAATGTGTGTTGCATCTACATACTGTCCCCATTTGAAATGTATGCATTCAAACTGGTTTTTATCATTTCAATAATTATTTTGTATTTTTTTATTCCTTCCTGTTGTAAGAAATAATTTCTCCACTGGTTTTAGGAAATCAATGAAATTTCAGTTTTTTATTATTTTTAGCAATCGACCGAAAACATTCTTATAATCATAAAACTTGAAATAATAGCTCGCATGTTGAACTTAAACTAGAATTTTTTTTTAAAGTCAACAAGTTTTGTGGCCAAAAGGTTTTATAAATATAGTTTAGCAAGGGTTTTAACCAAAACACTTGAAGAAGCTAATGGTTTCAGTTAAGGTGAAAAGCATTCAGACTTGAGTTTTGTTTGGTCCGGCTTGTTATAAATGAAGGACCTGTTGACAAAACACAGCACTGTGTGTTGCTAATGCACCTGGTGCTGTGAATCATATGTAAATCAAGTGGCCTTGAAGTGGTTGTTTGGTAACTAATTCACTTTTTGTCTAGTGAACAGAAGATTGTGAATGTATAATGACTTGTTTCAAACCAAAAGAATTTAAAACAAATTTTAATTTGTCCGTGTTTATCTGTTTGAAAAGTTTCTTAACATTGTTCAAAATCTAAGATGAATAATGTTTATAAACTGCAAAACAAACAAAAATTTGAACTAAAAAACATTTTAAACCCCATAAAATACTTTGCAAATGATAGTAAGATGCAGAAACCTGCCAATCATTTACTGTGCATCCACTTTTAACTTAGGTTTTGGTAAAGCACAGTTTGATTAATGTTATTCAGAGTTCAGTTTGTATAAAAATAAAGTCTAAAAATCAAGCATAGTAAAACAAAGAATATAAAGTAAAACTATTTAAAAAGTGTTATTTACCTAATAGGATACACATGATGAACAAAAATATAAAATTTTACTATACGATATTAAAAACAAAACTTAAAATTCTGAACAAATTTATTGTAATAAACTATTGTAGATAAAAATATAACTAATGTTTAAACCTTTTTTTTTATTAAAAATCTGTTAACACCCTGTTTTCTAGGATTGGTTAGGTCAATGGGGCTGTGTAATAACAGTGTAAACATATAGGCCTACCTAGATACCGAGGTATGTTACATTACATAACAGTGTAAGCCTGGTAGTTGAAGTAAAAATTAAAAATACCCAAGCCTAAATGTGAGTTCTGGCCTCATACTCTGACATATCATTAGTGGCATGAGTTATTTATAGAAAAAAAATTAATGGGCGTTAAATTTATTAAACTGAAAGTTGTAAGATAAAGTTTGAAGCCTCATGAGCTATTCCTAGAGAGACGAGTCAAGACAGGCCATCTACCAACACATGTAAATGGTTGTCTTAACAGCTGTGATATTAGTTACAGCTGATAACTTATTGGCTGTCATCTTCAATCAGCAAAATGTTATGTCTGGACAAATCTCTCTTGAGGTGTATTTAGTAACATGCTACATAATATAATTTATTTCCTATATTTCCCTTATTAATATTTCTCTTTCAATCTAGTCTAGTTTAAAGAAATTTTGTTAAGAGTTTTGTCTAAATGAGTTGTAGATGGGTTGATTACTATGTTGAAACAAATGTTTGCCTCTAAAATGACAGTCCCTGATAACATAACTACTGGAATGGCATCACATTACTTGATGTAAACTTGCTAATGAGTGACATTAGTAGTTGTCAAGCCGAGATAACGGATGATGGCAGCTCCTCAGAGTCATAGTTGTGTGAGTCATCTTTCATTAATGACTCGAGCCATTTTATTGAGTCTTAAATCTGATGAGCTAATGATGTGAAATGGAACTGTGCATGCTGATAACAATAGTTCTTTGATGATAATAACTATCTGTTACTCAATTAATGTCTCCAATGTAGTTTAATGTCTCCTCTAAAATTTTGGGTTGTTCTAGCATCAACTGAATTTGTAATTTTTCTTGATATTGAAGTATTATTTAAAAGCAATAAAAAAAATTTGACAAAGCCCGTAGTCAAGGTTTTATTTTAACCAATTATAAATTGTATATTTGTGAAGTTGAATTACAACTGTTAATGATCACTATTACCATTGGGAAACGGAAGCCTGGCGAGCTCTGGCCCTAATCCGGGGTCGAACCCTTTTACGCTTCATTAGGCTTCAGTTCGCACACCAACTAGCTTTCCCCCCAAGAATACCTCTCTCCCCAAAAAGTACCTAACCCGTGGGTAAGAGAAGAGGATGACTTTGGTGCCCCGGTGGGGGGAGGGGTGCAAAGGGCAATGGCTTTGAGGAGGAAACACTTCCGTTACTGAGAGGGCAACTGATGGGATAGTGACCTTCCTAGAATTGAATTCTTATTGTTGAGATATTAAGTTAAACAAAATGTATTGCAGCCAATTCTTTGAATCACTAGAGTAATAGCATAAAGACGATTCAGGAAATGAGCTAGCTATTTCCGTCTTAAATCAAACTTAAGCATGAGTAATATATGGACGGCTCAGGAAATTGCCAAATAGTTTCTAATACATAGTTGTTTCTAGCCTTTATATTTTCTACTCCCTTAGTGCACTGTTTTATTTTACAATAAAAACCAAAAACTTAGCTGTGTTTTTTTGGGAATTTTATTATCACTTCATTATTATTGTATATTTGTTATTGTGAATATTGTTTTATATAATTTATCATCTATTTAGTCAATCAAATTCATAAGAACAATAAATAGTTTTATATACCTTGTTGAGTTCACAATAAAAGTATCTTTAATAATTAAAGTATTTAAATAATGATGATTAAATTTAAAACAATAACGCAGGCCTAGTAACTAGTGTTGCATATACAACATTCGGTTGTGAATTTTCTTGTGCTTTGCCTTGAAACAAAAATTAGTTATATATGAGCGGTCTCTGGAAGATCACGCGGGTTTGGATGAATAGTTTAATGATGCCTATTGATTTGTTTCTATTGTTTCCGTACAGATTGATCAGTTTGTTAAGCGAATTTTCTATTCAAAGGTATAGGCTATTAGCTATTACTGGAGATCTCGTTGTAAGACTCCCAGGACCGATTTACTTTTTCGTTTTGAAGGGTCATAACAGCCAAAAACACCACCCGTCCACATTTTTAGATATATGTCCGTCAGCACGATAACTCAAGCAAATATAATCTGATGTTGATGAAATGTGGTATAAACGTGTAAACTTTCGTTAAATAATAAAATAGGCATTTCCCATTTTTGACCCTAAAACATACAGTTTTTCTATTTCTTTCTAAACAATTTTTAGGGCTTATAAAAAAAATCATTTAGTACCACAAAGCGATGGTTGTACGCCTAACGGGGAGATAAAATTCAATAAAAATGGTAAAGTAAATATTACTCTTTGTTATTTTTTTTTTAATCAACTGTTGTAGTTTGCTTTTTCATTGACGGATACTAATCGGGGAAATTTGTTTATTTCATACCAAGCTATCGACATTTTAACCAGCAAACACACCTCTTTACTATCACTTTAGCAGCAAACTTAGGTAATCATTAAATCACTATCATTAGACAGTTTTAAGGGAATATTTTTGTGTAAATCTTGCTAGGTAAGCGAAAATTAGCTTAGTCTGCAGGTTTACTGCGGCGGGAGTACGTTATTTTATTATAAGATTGAATTTGTCTGTTGAAATGATATATTATGGAAGTACGTTGTTCATACAATTAAAATTTTTATAGTATTACATTCTTATCATTCGTTAGGTAGTGTTAATTTCCCCATTATGTGTAATTTTAATATTTAATTCCCTTATTAAATGTTCCCTACACTTAATTTGTCCTCACATATTTGTAATTTGTAAATAAACCTAATGTTGAGAAATATTCTTTTCAAGCCAGCACAACACCAACTCCCAAATATAAGAGCCCCCATAATTATTTTAAGAACCCCTGAACATCTTAGTAATAATCCTACAGTATATTAATTACTAGCAGAGTACCCGTCCTTCTTACGGGGCTGGCGTAAGTATGAAATGCTTATTGCAGTTATACTCGTAAATAATATACTACAGTATTTCGTAAATTCGGTAAATTCCGAATAGGTAGGCCTAAATATAATAACAGTTAAAGCAAAGTTGGAGAGGTTAAATTATAATTTATTTTTTACATTTTAAATTGACATGTTTGCTTTAATATTACGGTTTAAACTTCCGCGAGGGCCACGTACATTTCCTAATCATGTACTTTTCACTGCTTACGCTTCTTCGAAACTGACCAAAGTATACATTTCATTATCTAAATCATCGTATAACATCATAGTAGCCACTAGTTATCTCTCCCGTGAACTTATTTTACGCACCGACCATGTGTATTGTACGCAGTCTAGGAAACCACTCACGGCAGCTGCATTTTGGGACCTGGACAAAAGCCCTGCGGCACATCTATTACGCGTCTAGGAAACCACAGCCTTACGACTACGATCAGAAGGTGCAGTGTTTCCCATTTCGTTCGATGTTTGGATTTAACTTAACCTAAAAAAAATGTTTGAAGGACTAACTATTTATATGATTTGTAGGGAAAATATAATGTGTAACACGAGTGCAAACTACCTCTGCCGCACTCGATAAACTTTCAACACTCGCCCACGGAACACGCGTAAACATTTCTCTCGTGTGCAACAATGCGCCACTTCGCCCACTAGTTACACAAATAGGAATAATAATAAGCCTATAAAATGATCTATCATCATGCGAAATTTCAAACCCAATTCGAGTCATTTCTTGATTGAGTCCTAAACAAATAACGAACACACACACTTACAGCTTTATAATATCAGTACGGTATACAGGGTGATTGATATAAGTGTGCCAGCCGTTTTATTCGAAACGGCCTTGACATGGTAAGTGCCTTGGATTTTTTATTTAAAAAATTATAGTAAAGTCCAAAAAATTATTTTAGCCCCCATTTTTCCAATATGGCCGCCAACTTTGATTTTTCTAATGGAACACCCTGTATTTTATGATGTATTCTGGTAGAAAAAGTAATTTCAAGACGATTTTATTCTTGTGATTTTTTTCATAAACCTAACCGTTTCAAAGATAATAATCGTTTAAGTTGTGAAATTTTGAATGGTTTTCAAACAAAACAGCTGGCATGCTTGCTTAGGCCTTTATCGAAACTCTTTCTCATGCAGAAATTTCAAAACTTTAACCATTATTATCTTTGAAACGGTTAGGTTTATGAAAAAAATTACAAGAATAAAATCGTCTTAAAATTACTTTTTCTACCAGAATACATCATAAAATACAGGGTGTTCCGTAAGAAAAATCAAAGTTGGCGGCCATATTGGAAAAATGGCGGCTAAAATAATTTTTTTGACTTGACAACAATTTTTTAAATAAAAAATCCAAGGCACTTACCATTTAACTTTTTTTGATATCTCTTATAGTTTTTGAATAAAACGGCTGGCACACTTATATCAATCACCCTGTATAATGATGTTTCGATTGCCAATCTACTAATGCTGCCCAGGTTCTTTAATAAAGTCCTATAACAAGTACAGTTGGATTTTTTTAGCTAGAAGCAGTTAAGGTGTGGTGGAATATCTTTGAAGATGAACCTATTTGGCAGTAGTGTGATCATGTGTTCAGACCTGTCAAATTTTGAGGTTAAATAAAAACAAACAAACTGACACAATAATTCTTGGAATTGACAATAGTTATTTATATACTTTAAACTTACTCTAGCCTACTTTTATATAACTACTTGGCAATATACAGTATAGAATATTAAGGCCTACTGTGAAATAGAGACGTGATTCCTAATTCCAAATCAGCTAATGAATAAGTTGATACTTAATTATTTCCGCCAAATTATAGGTGATGGTTGCTTTGATAATAGTTAATTATATGAGTTAGTATTAAAATATTGAATCTTCTTGCATAAGTTTATTAATTTCGATCATTATATTAATAGAATAATATGGTTGCTGTGACTGGGATACACATAAAATAACCGTTGGGACATACAGTAATTATGATTTACGTCTAGTTTTGAAATATCTTAACATCTAAACATAGACTCGCCTTTTGGGTTTCATGCTAGAGATCAGAATTAAATACTCTAGAGATGACGAGATGAACCTTTATAGACTCACGTTTTGACCCATTTAAATTACTGTATAATTAACAGCTAATTGTATTGCTGATAATTCATTAATGCAATCACTAATCAAATAAGTTCACCTCATACAAACAGGATAACATTATACAATAGGCCAAGGAAGCAAGCATAAATTAAACAATGAAATATACTAAATCATTTCATTTGATCTTAAATGGCAATTCTTTCGTAAGTAATACAAAACGGCCTCTAAATGCTTAATTATTAATTGCCAAAATGCCAGTTTGTTTGTTTTGATTTAACCTCAAAATTTGACACATATAAACACATTATCGTACTACAGCTAAATAGGTTCATCTTCAAAGATATTCCACCACACCTTAACTGCTTCTAGCTAAAAAATCCAACTGTAGGTAAGAATATTTTTGTATATATACGCTTCATAGGCTACACATATATTTTTAAAATTATATAACAAAAAAAGATCTATAATTTTAGCATTAGTATTAACTTTCAAACGCCAATCAATAGATACTTTCTTGGAAGCTCTGTTTTCTGTTTAGAAACTACTTTGCATCTACTTGTAGTGCATACAACACACGGCCACGCTCTCGTGTTGTTCTCCTCTCGCCACAGCTCACATTCACCCTCTCTCTCCTTCTTCCACCCCTCTTTACTCGACCACCCCTTTCTCCCAGCGAAATACCCGGTATAGTACTGTTGGGGAGAATAGGCTTATGTCAGGTAGTCTTCTCCACTCGCCTCGACACTCTAATGACCCCTTAATTTACGAGTTCGATAAGCCGGGTCGCCAGCGCTCCTACACTCATTACCATTAAGGCTATTACCTGTATTCAAAATTTCTAAACTATTACCTTTATAGCTGAAATTAAAACAAGCATATTGCTGTCATTATTTCCTTTTAGCGAATTTCCCTATAGGGAAGTAGCTATTACCGTAGGTGGCACAGTAAGACCTAGACCCGGGACCGATTTACTTTTTCATTTTGATGTCCCCAGAGGCCAAAAACACCATTCGTTCAAATTTTTATATATGTATATATATATATACGTCCGTGAACGCGATAACTTAAGTAATTATTGTCCGATTTTTATGAAATTTGGTTTAAAGGTGTAAAGCAGAATAAACTTGAATGAGTTCGCGAACCAGTACGATCGGACCATGGGAACGGGGCTTTACGGGGGGTTTTATGGGGTAAAAATTTTTTTTTTCTCACTTTTGACCCTCAAAACACAAAATTTCCCGATTTCTCTTTAGACCTTTTTAAAGAGCTTAAAAAAAACAAATAATTTAGTATATAAAAGTGTTTTTGTTCGATTATTAGTAACGGAGAAAATTTTAAAAATTGTAAATTTAAAATTCCCATGTTATTCTTATGGAGAATATTGTCAAATGTTGTAGTTTGCTTGTTTATGGATATATTTTGATCAAACTTGGCAAATTTATTTATTTTGTACTAAGCTATCAATATTTTACTCAAAAACACACTTTATTAGTTTCCTTGTAGCAGCAAACCTATGTACTCGTTAAACCTAATGTTATTAAAATATATTTAACTGAAAATCAATTCAGACAAATGGAAATTCGCTTAGTCGGCAGGTTTGCTGCGGCGGGGGTATTTTTTTTATTTGTATGCCAATGGCCTTTGTATGGAAGTCCCACAAACATGTTTAAGGGAATGTGGTCCTACACTTCAATTTTTTGTTGATACTTATAACCACTACCTGCTAACGACACACCTCATTGACTCTACTTTTACCTTTACGTGGTACCAGCCCTCCCCTCTGGTTACCCCACTGGTGTTGTATCCACCATGTGTGACAGCCTGGAACAGCAAGTCCGTTGTACTATTGATAAATATTAAGTTTATAATTGCAGTGACTAATTAATTGAGCAATATATTAATCATATTTTTTATTCAGGTTTCAGTTTTCACAGTTGGATAAATTAGAAAAGAATACTTACCAATTTATCATATAAATATAATACAAATATTTTTATTTGCTCATAGGGACAGAGAGAAATGGCAGTGGAGGGGGTGTGAAGCCAGTCAGTGTGGAGACGCCGGTGGTGGTGCCCCCGGTAGCTGGGCCAGGACAGTACAGCGGGGCCGTTATAGCCACAGAGTCTGTACATGTCAGTCTCAACCGCAGCGTGACGTCTCCGGGCAATGACACAACTGACACAGCCATTAACATGCGGACAGTGGACTTGCAGAACGGGAAAGCGGCTTCTACCGGAGTGATACGGCAAGGCTTTGGTGAGTTGGGACAAAGGGTTCGGATCAAATAATTGTATTCAATATTACAGGTACAGTAACCTTTTTCAACCCTGCCCCATTAAACTGATCCCAGGTTTACCCATGTAGTTTGGGTTTTCAGATATTCATTTTTCAGATTACTGTAATCAAAATATAATGTTAAAACAACAGTTGTTTTTTGTTTAACTTCATGGACCTAAATAGCCTTTATCCCAACCATTGATTGCCGAAAAAAAATTGTTATCCGAAACAGGGTTTAGCCTAACTGTATCTTGAAGTCAGAAAAAGTATTTTAAACTCTGGTTAAGTAAAAGGCTTGTGGTATCGTTTTAACAGGAATACATCAAGAAAGCTTACAATGAAAAATTGTGAAATATGTTTATAAATTGTTTGAATCTTGTTTGAAAATTTGTTGTGCAAGGTATTATATAACTTTATCACAGAACACGATTTCAATTTCTAAGTTATTCGAACTTGCATTCAATTGGCAACCACCTTAGTCACCACTAGCTTGCCTGTGAGCCTTAACTATAATAGTCGTTGGATCACATCACAAACAAGTTGAGGTTTCTAAAAATAAGATTTGAGTAATTTATCACAACTAGAAAGTAACTGAGAAAGCTGTTAATTATTTAAATGACTTTTTCCAGCCAACGGTGACATCATTGTGACTCTTCTACCAGTCAATGCCAGCATGCCATGGATCACCCCAGCCAAGTTCAGACCCGAGCTGGTGCCGGAGGAATTGATGGCGCAAGGCCTCACAGTAAGAGGATCTTTTACTTTCAACTTATTCTGTAACACTGCTGGTTGAAAATCATTAGGTTATACAAATTACACGAGTAAAACTTCATCTTAAAATTAATTTTACACTTGACTGGGATAAGATTGTTGAAAAACGTGGGTTTTAATTTTAGGTAGGACCTACAGTAGGTATATCATCGCACTCTGCTTTTAAAGTACTCTCTTGATAACACACTCGGTTACCAAGAATCTTGGATAACACGGAGATCGCATAGGTTATGGTTATGGTACGTTTTTATGAATTCAAATACTTGTAAATTATATCTTAAATCAACACATAGTAAATAAAAAAAAAAATAATATGTAATTTTGTTGCAACCTTTTTTCCCAAATAACGTCGAATAGTTAAAGAAAAACTAACACTTAACAAACATGTTCAGCATTTCCTTATTGTCTTTAAACATTGGCCTAGTATTATAAGAATTATTATAAACAGATACTCTACATTATTTAAAACAAAACAATAAGGTGGATGTATCTAGTTCAAAAAGAATAAAAATTACATTTTGTTTAAGTTTTTGAGTTTATATTAATGCATAAAATCACTGCACAATTAAACTGTGTGTCACTTTTAGCTGACAGTTGAAGACTATGTCAACATCATGGATCTGCTGGTCAACGATGTTCGGTTCAGTGTTTACAACATCTGCTACAAGCGAGTGTTGGTCGTGTGGATATTCACAGCGTTTGTTATTCTCCTCACCCTCCTTTTCTCTGGCCTAACGGGACTGACATTGTTCGGTCTCGGAGTCATGTGGCTAGTGTTCAATGCAGCCGCTATTTTCTTCTGCATGTGGATCAAAATCAAGGTAAGACCTTGCTTTTGAGTTTTTGGTGAGTGTATTGTATTGCAAGGGAACAATGTACGGAGTATAATGAGCAGCTGGATAAAACAAGGATTTATCAAATTTATTCAGTTTAGTGATGCACCTGGTTTTTTATTCATCATTACTCTATCAGTTCCGTAAAATGAAAATTAAATTGCAAATGGATTTAGCTGAATTAATTGTTATAGATGAAATCTCTTTGAGACAGAGAAAGATAATATATCGATCAAATTTGAATTGAATGCAAAAATTTCAAAATATTCATAAAAAGTTAACTTACATACTTCCAAGCCTTAAGTTGATTATTTACAAAAAATCAATCGGAACATTTTTAACTAAATGAAAACGCATCAGTTCATCAAAACAGAATTGTTTATTTTGGGCTCTAATCTTTACACTTATTAACTTCTTTCAACTCACATTGAACACTTTTGGTGGTTTTACTATAAATGATTTCATATCAACCTATCTGACATTTCATTTCCAGTTGAACCATAACTTGGAAAGATGCATGGCAAATGTGAACAAACATCTCCTGAAACACAAGATAATTCTAGGATTGGACGATAGAGGGAAGATATCCTGCCACAAAGTCAACCTCTGCTTCATATACTTTGATACAGCAGATTGTGTGGTAAGAACACCACTTATTATTTTTAAACTTAAGTGTACCGTAAATGTAGTAACTTCAACCCATATTGATATGATTACTGCTACAATATTTATATTCAGTAGACTCTCAGAAATCTTTCACATTCGAGATTTTAGTAGTGCTGAGTGTCATCTAGAAATTACTATGTTGGAAGAATAGTGGAAACACTAATAAAATAGAGTCGTAAAGGTGACATGTATGAGGCTATTTTATTAGTAAGCCCGTAGTCGTTCAGTACCTAAACCCGAAGTCGTTCAACTGTCTTCATTTTCTGTAAAACCCTCCCAGAAAGCTTACTAAGCCTAAAAAACGTCCAAGATCAATCAATACCATATTAGGGGAATATTTCATACTAGGCCTATATTTATGTGTGCTTGTTTTTGGACTTTTTAGGATCCCACATGCATGTGGTATCTCGCATAGTATTCATTCTGATTGGGTAGCAAAGGATATGCTGGTGGAGTAGAGTGTTTCCATTTAAATTGACTCAATCTTGCTCTGTCATTGAGACAAGTTTTTTCTACAGAAAAAGCTCCAAGAAGTGATAGAGAGGGAGGAGGCAGAGGGTCGGCCTGTCAGTCAAGATGAAGCTCCAGACAAGAAGAGAAGACAAGAGCTGGTGCAGAGGATGGATATTGACGATCAGGACATCATTATACAAGGGAGCAATCCCACCAGGCTCTCAAGAAAACAGGTAAGTGATATTGTAAAATATGAAGCCTTTTTAGTTGTGTTGTTTGTTTATCATTGAGTAGATTTGAGTCCATTGATGTACACTAAGCGTATCTGTCTAATTTTAGGGTAGAATTTTACAATTTGTGTTCTACTTTTTGCTACTTTAAGACAAATAATAGGCTACTTAACATTGTTACATTTTGTAGAAATAGTTTTATCTAGTTAAATTACATCAATTTATGAATCAAGCAGAAACATAAAAAAAGTTATTTTGTTGAGTTCTGTGACAATTGTTTCGCTACTTCATTAACATTTAAATTCACTATACAACCTTAAACCAGATGGTAAAGTTATACTATCGCTCGGTTCAGTTTACAATGAATATAATTCAATAATAAAATACAGATGGGACGCTACAGATCAGTAGAAGAAGGAAAAGCGTTTGTGAAGTCCCCGGTTCAAATCCCGCCAATCTTAAAGTGATTTATCTAAGTGATAACGCCGAAACCCTCTAGGCCTAGTCTTAAGTACTGTGAAAACGGTTCTGGGCTAAAAGTTAGCGCCCTGGGATGAGAAAGTAGGACAGTGGCCACTTTAGAACTAAAAGCAAACAATTACATTAGAAGCATAACAGTTTGCAGTAGGTAGGTTACGAAGATTTCTGCCATTTGTAAAGTACTGGTAGGCTAATTGAAATATGACTGGTTGAAGGGTCGAGGTGAGCAAGTGCTGGCTCGCTATTTGCAGCGTTGGTGCAAGGACTACCTGCGTCGTAGACTAGACTGGACAGTTGACGAGGAGGGAGGCAACCCTCCCGACCCGCGTCATCTCCCCTCCGCGCTGTGTCCTTGTCAGTACATTGAGGGGCATCTGCGGAACAAGCCTAAGAAAGATCCGCGCGCTTGCTGTCCCGCGTTTACTGCTTTCATGCGGGAAAGGGGAATAGATTGAGAATTGTTTGAATGCCATTATTGTAAAATTGTACTTAGAATCGTTCAGTTGTTAAAATGAAGTTTTAGGGAAACAAAATCATTACAGTAGAACACCTCTTGTCCCCCGCAGCTCTGGTTAATCATACTGGACTAAAGCTGACGTACTAATGGGCTACTTGCTTCCTTTCACACTATTGTTTACTTGCCATTTTCGTACGTCCCATTACCACATTCTGCCATCTCGTTTCTGTCATCGTGTGACTATTTAGCTTTATACTGTGCCGTTTTAACTTCTTAAAGTTTGTTGGTATTTACTTTCCATTTTCGTTTTTATTATTTTTGTTGTTTATTACTGTTGTGAGTGTTTTAATATTTTTTTTGTATGCTATATAAAAAAAATAACAGCTTTTTTGTGACTTCTTGCTATTTTAATACGAGTAGGAAAATTACTGCCAATAATTTTGAATATGAATTACTTCACTGTTAATAATTGTGTTTTACATAGACTAAAACATTGCATTTTTACCAATATTCCAACCGTTTTTCATTTCTTACATAAGCACAGGGCGCCCCAAAGCAGAACTACAGGCAACAGTGTGACATTGTTACAGAAAGACGGTGAGGGCTGCAGAAAATCCAGCCTGCCCAAATGGCTGTTTAAATTTCTTTTGTTCTCTTTTTTATGATTTATTTTCATAGACAAAGTTAACCTGTAGGCCTATAAGTTTCTGCAGAAAATGCTACATAACAAGTTCATACAATTGCAACTTTTACAACTTTACAACTTTTATTTCTGCAGAAAAATTCTCCTTTCTGCAAATAGTAACGCTACAAAACGCCGTGCTTACATAAACGAAAGCTGCAAAGTCAATATTCGGTGCATTGATCGTGAGGAAGAACGCTTAGAATAACCAATTTATCAAAGCGATCCAATGTAATAACAGTAGGCATATTCAAACCGATATGAGCGTTTGAAAACTTATTTTCATTTCCAAATATTCATTAAAACTCATCACACACGCGGTTCATTATCACGTAACTTGAACCGTGTAAACCCGCAGAAAATTTTTGGATTTTTCCAAGTCAGTTTTAAACCCTTCTGCTTTGGGGAGGTGACGGATCAGAGGAGTTCTACTGTAATTATCACAAGATATTGGATCGTTATAATTTTATTTGCTTACCAACCATAAATAAGACTAATCTTAATCATCGTAATCCATTTTAATTGTTTATTATTCACAAAAAATGGTTTTTCCATAAGCACACTCAGCACATTATTAATCGTATTGTATTTTATCATTAAAGTTATATAACCTATTTTATTTAAAATGATCAAACCCTTTCTCTAATTTTAGTTTTTCTACCTTTTATAGGTAAAACTTTTTAACATTTTTATTCAAATTTAGGTAGCTGTACACGTTCCATGTTATGAGTTAGGGTTTTAGATATATACTTAGCCATTTGATACTGTTTGATGGTTATGCATTTCCATTGAACCATGCAATTGTTGGATACCAGTTTCCAGTTTGAATTATTACATTAGGTCGTATTCAGGCCATACAATGCAAATGTAAGTTGATGTACAAGCTTAGTAAGAAACCTAGTTTGTCCCTCTGAATGTATGATTATTATCCTTAACAGTGATAATCCCATCCTTACTACAGGCATGGCTCACGAAAGCGTGTTGACAATCGTGCCATGCATTATTTCAGTGAGGGGGGGGGGGGGGGTAGGGTTTAATGAGCAAAACTAGCAATGTTATTTGGCTTCAGTTAGATTCTAAAATTGGCCAAGTATTGTTACACTGTTATTAAATCTTATTTCCCAGTTCCCTAAGTATTATTTACACTTTTGTTACTGGTTTAAAATTTGCATTTAAACCTTACACTGCTTGTAAGTAATGTAAAAAGTGAAATTTAGAGAAATAATTACAGAGTCCTTTAGTCTGAATATTTTTTCTTAATTAACAAGAAAAATATAGCTCATATCTGCTTGTTTGACACCCTGATACAACTTTCTTAACACTGGTGAACCACTGTTAGCTGTCTTCTTTCAAGCTTTGAATATTTGCTTGGAAACGCATGCTTGCTTGTTTTCTACATTGCATGGAAAACTATTTTTCTTGTTTTGCGTATGTTTTCAGTTTTACTTTCTTTCCAGATTACAGGTGTGAACCGACACTTTAGCAAGATTGATGAACCTTTAGTTGCGAATTATAGAGCATAGGTTTGTTTGTAAATATTGCTTTTCAATATTTAGTGCATTGCATAACAGGCCACTAGTAGATTCCTGGGCTTTCAGGGATCGTAGTAATTAGTTATTGATGTTTTCAGGATAAGTGAAACTGGTTTTCAGAAAACCCAAAAATATACATTAGGCAATTAATAAGTTCACAGAAATGGTCATCAACGATTTGCTTTGGCAATAAGAGGTGTTAGGATAGCAGAACCTTTACACTAATTTTGGAATATTTCACTGAAAGCTTTTAAATGAAGGGAAGGTTTTAGTCGGGAAAAATCTTTGTTAATCGGTTAGTCATAAGTGAGTTAGTTCTGTCTCCAATAATTTTATATTGGGCTCCTTCCACTTTTTTAAAAATTCCCAGTACTATTTGTCAAACATTGTATTCAGCATTCTCTGTATGGACTAGAAAGCTTTTAGTATTTGTTTATGAACCCACTGGATAAGTTAGTGATTATATTACTTAACGCAGGTTGCTAGGGGTGTAGGCACATGACCCAGGCTGTAATCCTCTTAACCACGGTCGGTTGACCTGTCAGTTTTAGTTTGGTGTCGAACGCTTTCGCATCATACCATACATTGCCGAACTGTTCGTGGCAAATCATTAGCTCTATCACCGTCGCTGTCAAAACGTATCGTTTGTAGGTTAAATTTAAATTTAGTTTAACTGTCATAACCTAACCAAACTTGCTGATAATTAAAAAATCGAATAAAGGTTTACTAATCAAAAAATAGTTCTGATCATAAAATTATAAATGCCTAAAATTCCAACAAAAGATGTACAGTTAAGAAGTAATCTCATTCTAAGCGAAATCTTTGACAAGTTAACGCCTCCGGTGGGATTCAAAATTCTCGATTCCCCACCCCTCCTCCGGTGACCACTACCCTCAGGCCATAAATCAGGGGATTAACCCAAACAAAGATCTGGGCCGTTGTCCGTCTCCCGGTTGCTAGTTCCTTACTGATTACCAAAGTAGTTGTGCGATTTTTAAAAGCTAGTAGAAAACATAAAAGCTACGTTAGGTTGTGGACTTGCCGGAAGACAAATTTTATAAAGTTAGTGTTAAATATTATTTGTTAAGAATATGGACTTTGTAGGAAGATTCAAAATTGACATACTAATTAAGTTAATTCTGTGGTTTGTAACATAACTTCGAACAACATTGTGTATGTTGTTACGGGATTGTAGAGGTGAGCTAACAGCTGTGGTGGTGGTGGGTTGTAGGAGAGGGCGCAGATGCTGCTACTCCGCTACTCGTCACGTTGGGTCAAGCTGTATGTGCGACAGCGGCTAGACCTGTGTGTGGACCAATCGCATGGCACACCACCACCACGCCACTGTGTCTCGTCTCGGTGTCCGTGTCAGTTCATCGAGGAGCATCTCAAGTACAAGCCCAGAGGCAAGTTAACTCTACGTCAGATCTGTTGTCTTCCCGATTTTCCATTCCAGTAAACCGCTTAGAGAGAGCCAGGTTATCTTTTCATTACTGCATGTCGTTAGGGATTGTGGAAGCAAGGTTTACCAGCTTAGGTTTTGCCTTGGAAAAATTTATAAAACTTTAATCCTTCCCAAAGGTTTAAAAGGCTATTTCTTACAGATATTTGTCAAGTTGGTAATGTGAAATTTGGTTCTCAATTTCTATCGGTATATGCACTATGTTTTACTTTGTCAGTGACAATGTGTAAAATCTGTGGTTAAATAAATACTAGGACTATATTGTTTGAAAGTGGTTGTCACACAGATAAAAACTTGAACTGACTAATTCTTACAAGGTACACACATAATACATTAAAAAAAACTTTATTATCTTTATCTACTAAAACAAACTGGCTCTCTCAATCCGTTACCAAACCATATGTGCTTTAAACGGGTGTCTAAATAAATTGTTTCCCCCTTAGTAGGTTATATTGAGTGTGCTTGGAAAGAGATAAACAATATGTATTAGCCCCTGGGGGGGGCGAGGGGGGGTTGGAGGGTACAACTGCGTGATGGTTAGGGTTACAAATTAATAAAGAAAACAAGCAAAAAACTGTACTCAGTAGAATCTTGATTATCCAACCTATCCCACAGACAGTCGAGTACTGTGAAATTATGTGTGATTACCGTATGGTATGATTTTATTTTATTCTATTCATTGCTTTTGACAATTATTACATTGTGTAGCTTATACATCACAGCTCGTAGCGGGTATGTTATAACAACCCCCTTTGCCACGCCCTGTTACTCTTTCAGAAGATAAAAGTCAGGCTTAATGCCCTTGTACTTGCCTCTATACATGACTTATTTTTCTGCATACCACACAGTTTATCAACACCTCATACCTGCATACAGTAGTGTGCAAGTCTTGGGGCAAACTGTAACCTTTCGCTGATTGGACCAGTGTATCTTACATTGTACAAATTCAGTTGTGGTGTTTTACTTTTACTTTCTGGTATGTTATTTGTCATGGTAGCTTTGAAACAGAAGAAGCAATTCAATGATATATATAAAGAAAAAGCGATGGAACACCTTGCTGAAGGTGACTTAGGTCAGATAATCAATACTTTGTCCTATAAAGTATGACATCTACACTCAAATAGATGACAATTGTCAGATAGGACAACATGGGTTTTCAAACTCGATACCTTTTACTACAATCAAAAGTCATTTTCTCTGCCCTTTTTATCCACACTCAATATAACCTAGTATCTAGCTTACTATGTTGTTGACTTGGCAATCTGTGTAATCAAAATGTACTGAAAATCAGATTCAAGACTGATCTCTTGATTGTCGTCTGGGTTGTCCTACATCTTACAGCCATTGTTTTACTCAGAGCAGTTAACTATAAAAATGTCACCCGAAGATAACGTTGAGAAGTTCTATTCACTCTAATTTTCTTTAAATCAAGTAAATTAGATGTTATTAGTTTACATAAAATATCTTTACCAAACAGTTGTTCTATTGCCGATGTAATTAATTGTAAGCTTCCCAACTCGATAAGTTACCTGACTCAAAATACTTGTAACCCTTTTAAAGGTCCAGGTGACATTGAATTACAGCTTTGCACTGAGTGATGGGTGGGTGACGGTTGATGTAAACTAACATGGTGTTGGTTGGGTCCTTCTTTGTGCCTTATTTGTAACTTAAGTGCCTCACAGCTAACCCACAGGGAGAAGACTAACTTAGTTACACCAAAAAATTGTGTATAACACAAGCTACATTGTTGAATAAGTAAAAATTATAATGTTAAGACTGTTTATAAGTAAAGTGTTATTTTTACTGTATTTAAGTTTTGAAATGTTTTAAGCGTGTTAAAGACATATCAGTTTAAGAAATGAAACCAAAATGATTGTTTTGTTTTCGATCAGGAAACTGGGAAATTTGATCATTAGGCCTGATGTTTGTTAAAGCATACTCAATTGAAATTCTGTTGTACCTGATTGCTTACACACTGTATGGTAGGCCTATAACATTGAAAAATCGATAACCAACATTTTATTAAATGAATGTTTATCTCGGCAACTTATATTGATTATATGTGTTGATATCTTGTATATTATCAAATCATGGGAAGAAAGACATTTTTTATCTTTTGATTATGCCATGTAGTTTTAATTTTTATGGAATATTTGTAATAAGTCTAATAAGTTTAAACCATATTATTACCATTTATGAATGTGCGGTTTTGTTGTTAAATGTTATCTAGCTTTGTAAATTGCTGGTTCTAGTTTTGGGATTCAACTGAGTGCAGTATTTTTATGTGCAGTATTTTTTTTTTATTTATAAAATTATATGAAAGTTTTATTTTTTCTAACCATTAACAACGGTTTTAAGCATTAAAAATGCTTGTTTTGAACTGTTGTTTGAACAATTTTAACTAGTGTACTTAAGAAGCATTACTATTTTTTATATTTATGTATTTTATTATTGTTATGCATTTTAATCAAAATGTTCAATGCTAGCTCAACTGTAATCTCCGTCCAGTATTTGTGATAGGATTGTATTTATTTAGTATTGTGCAGTACTTAAAAAGTGTACTTAAAGTATTTGTTATTTAATAGTATTATTTTATTATGTAGAGTTATTTAAGTTTGCCCAAATGTATAACTTGTTGACAGATGTTAAATTTTTTTTAACTATTTTTAATTTTCTATATGCTTTTAAGTTTTGTATTACTGTTAGCTATAGTATTTTATATGAACTTAATTTATGTTTACCAAACTATTACAATATCTGAGCTATTTTTATAAAAGAAATCTTTTAGCTTTTTTGACTACTGGAAGGTTTTACTAGCAGAATTGAAATCTAGTTTTTTTAAGCTAAAAAGTTGGAATTGAGGTAATTTTAAATTGTAAAATACCTTGTTGAAGTTGGGGAACGTCAATGTGCAAATAAGCTCTGCATAAACTTGCCTAAAATATTTTGTTTTATTTCTGAATACAAAATTGTAGGATAGTAAAAAACCTTCAGTTATAAAAAGAA